ACAAAAGGGTAAAAAGAGAGAGAGAGAGAGCGAGAGAAAGAGAACGATACCGATCTTTCGTTCTCTTTCACCTCGCGTGATTCTTCTCTATCTCTCATTGGATTTCGAAGCCCAGGGATTCTCGGAGTTTTTATATTGCGGTTCCTTATTGTTGTGTAAATGTGGTGCAATGGCGCCGCGAGCCAGAGTACTGCTCACTTTTTGATGCTAATATCATTGAATATTCGAGAGAGTAGATTTCATAAAATTCATGTTTCGTCCATAAGCATTAAAAAGTGCACATACAGCTATTGAACGACTGCAAAATGCACAATAATTTTTGCTTGATCGTAGTTTAATTAAAAGACATTGATAACTAGCTAAATAACTATGTTAAAACGCTGTTTGCAATTATATTTCAAAAGTATGTCTCGCGCAAAATGTGAAAATAATATTTCTTGTATTGAATCACACTAGATAATTTTTCAAATAAAAATAATTAATAAAATCTATCTAAATAAATATGTCACGATATATAAAACATAATTGATTTGATCAAATCTGATACGCCATGTAAAATAACTAATCAATTTAACAAATGCAATCTATCAAATCATGAAGCAAGTCATAAGTTTTCTCTCTTTAATTTATCTTAATCTTAATCAATCTCTCATGATCCTTGGCTGGTCTATCTTGTATTCCAGATGAAACTGGTTGAATGAAGACTTTATGAGAATTGAAGCGATATTAGCTAATAATAATGGTCATAAATGTCATGATAAAATAAACAAGAATATTTAATATCTTCTTCTAGTCTTAGCATATCGATAAAAAGCGTGAAATAGTAATAAGCATAATTTAAAGTTACAGAACACAATCGCGCGCGCGCTAAAAAAATGTTAGATACATATTCTGGAATTAAAATCTGTTAATTATTGACCGGTGTAAATTATTTGGCATGTACATTTCTTTACTCTAAATGTAAATGAATGTAATAATAATTATAATCAAATTCTCAACTCTATATATAAGTAAATAAATACAATAATTTTTGTAAAAATGCAAGACATTATTTTGTGCAAATTGTTACAATAACTGCAGATTATTTTTATATCTCGATGAAATGAAAAACGTATCACGATCTATCGATGACAAAAAGATGTCATACACAATCGGCATCTCAGAATTTTTCTAGGACGACTGCGTGCAAGGTAGGTCAGGGTCTGATTGCAGGAAGGAAGCAGTTAGGCCCGGTTAAAGTCGTTAAGCCAAGTTTACGAGGTGTTACCGGGAGCGTAACCTGTAAATCTCAAAGGAAGTCGAGAGAGAGAGAGAGAGCGAGAGAATGCGCGTGCCAGTGGCCGCCCTTGGAAAGGCCGCGGAAGGGGTAATGGATATAACCGGGATGTAAGAACCGAGGTAAGACTACTTGAGCGCTATAAACGCTTTTATGGATCGTAAAACGTCTTCCTTTACAGCCAATAAAGATCCCTGACCTACCCGTTTGGCGAACGCGCGCGAAAGGAGACGGTGATCGCTCGCATCGATCTGTCGAAATCACGCTTTACTACGCAATAAAATCACGCAGAGCGTTGGTACTTTATTTCCTCTTCATGGGACTGCGAATCGCGGGTTTATTGGATTATTGACCGATAGCTCCGGGAATGCATTCGCGGGGAAAATGTGAATAGTCCTGCCGACTCAGCGGCGCGCGTTTATACGACCAACACCAATATCCAGGATGCGCGCACATGGGCGCGTCGCGTCGATTCGGCTCAGCACGCCGAGAAACAGGAAGGTCGTGAGTTACTGTATAACCACGTCGATAAAAACAAACCATAAAGCGCATTACGGACGATCATCGAACTACCGTTCAATATATCCTGCTTGGTGGGTAGAGGTAACTTCTAAATTAAGTTACGTACCGATTGAGAGCATAGTAGGCAGCACGTTACCGACCGACTAACGCTGATTCGTGCTGCCACCTACCATAGGTATGGTTAAATGATTGAGAAATAGTATCTCGCGGAGTGCTACATGAAGCCATTCAAACTTTAAAAACTACTTTACGTATTTTGCGTGTTTTATGCACATTTGCTGATGATTAATGTAGGGAACAGTATATAGTTTAATAATTTTGTGTCACGATAGCAATAAATTATCATGACGAGTAACGGATCATGCTAAAAAAAATGAATGACCTGCCTTGGCCGCGCCCACGCAAGCGGAAGGAAATAACATACTTATCTAAAATCTTTGAATCGAGATAAATGGCATTACGATATTGCTTAATATGTTTTCATTATTTACACATGTATACACATGCAAATGTAGAAAATAAAGCTTAATATTTGAGAAACACATAATATTCACTAAATTACACACACAAAAAAATACAACAGCAACCTAAATTAAAAAATTAATTCTGTCAGACCAAAATTCTTAAAAACAGAAATTATTTTCGGTTTTGATAACACAAATAATCCTCTCAGTGTTTTCGTACTGTATCATTCTGTTTATTATTTTATGAGATGATGTGGATATATTATGTATATATATTATATTTGTAATAAAAAACTAATTTATTTTTTTAAATTTAAAGCTATAAGACTGATTTTTAAATATAGAACTAGCTTCATTTTTATTTCAAACCAAATATTTTACCAAATTATTTTCGCATGATTGAAAGTGTTTCCTTCTTATTCAACACGTAAGCACATAAAGATATATAAAATATTATATTTATTTTTCAACGCGCAAACATGATAAAAACGTTCACAGACGATTCCAACTTGACAGAACAAGTGAGTTAATCATCCGATGTCGCCGTGACCGTTTTATGGTATACATCGGTCGTTGAAGCCCTCCTAAATTGCTTTTTCATGTTCACTGTCAAAATTTATCTTCGCGTATATCTAGATCAGAGTGGATCTACGTTTATTCTTTTTCGAATAATGCATGGAACCATGATTCTATTTTATAAAATTCTTGTGGCATGACTTCTAATAACAAACTTGTTTCTTTATCTGCATCTGCTTTATTTAAGCTCAGATTAGTAGTCAAGAATGATGAGTAACAAAAAAATGAAACATGTAACAAAAACGTAAAAATTAAACGAAAATATTCATCCATCAATTGGACAATTTTCGAACTGAGATTCTCATTGCACGAATCAATTATGCCGCATCACTGATTGTCGCCGAAACTGATAACAATTCTATCTTAAGAGTACGATTATCCTTATATAGGCAATTAAATAAGTGTGATTAAATAAATATCACCGGTGGGGCGTTATTTAATCGCGATTCAAGTGGCGTACAATTACGGTGCAATCCACGGAGTTAATCGGGGAATCACTTCGCCGCCGTAATATTACGTGCAGTCGGGACAAAATTTATGCCCGAACTTCTTCGTCGTCCGAAGATACCAAAAAAGAGATATTAAGCACTCCACCAAGTTTCGAAGAAAAAAAACTTCGAACGGAGTTTTTCTTGGTGTATTTCCTTTCTACCGCAGACATTTCAAGTATTTTGAAAACGTACATAATGAACTAATTTGTCATTTTCATGATAAAAATTGGCAAAGTTGGATTTGTTCAGTTAAACCATATAAATCTGTTCCTTCAGTAAAGTTGTAATCAATAAAAAATAGTCGTTAGGAAAGAAAATATACATTAACCTTATAGTAGCCAAACTTAAGCACAGTTTACTTTCAAAGTTAATGCGACCATTTCTAAAGTCTACTTTTTTATCTCAAACATAGAAAGAGTCGTAAAGCGGCGACAGAGATTCTCGTGGAAGTGTGGAAAAAGCGCGAACCTTTTTTTTAGGATCGATATTGGCTCGACCGAACAATTCGAAGGGCCGTCCATCTTCGGGAATGAATGGTTGACTCTCGACTAAAAATACAGCGAATTATACAGCGGATTTTTGGGATAGATAGTGCAGCGAATGCGGTAAAATTTTTTTGTTTTTCACCTGAATAGACTTTCTTTTTTAAGTCGTTCGTTTGCTTTAGGTAATCTATCGCTCCTGAATTACGTTTTTTTCGACTTAACACGACTTAACAGTTTTCGATTCGACGATTATAAGACTCGTGATATAAAACGTCGTAATTTTACTTGACTCTAAGATCGTTTAGAACACAGTGTGATAAAACTGATAATTTTTTTAAATTTATTGCTAGCAGAAATGACAGGCTAAACGCGATATAATATTTCAGGTTTGTGCGCGTCGCTCCCTCGGGATGCACGTTCAACGCAAGTTAAATACACGCGAACAGCATAACTTAGGAAATTATGAAGGCACGCTTGTATGCGGTTTATCCTCATTAAGCCCGCCGACTAAACTTAATTTTAAGGCCGCTGCTGCTAAAAGCTCGAATCTCATTTTTAACGTTGCTTTTAACGTCCATGCGACTATCATTTTTTTAATGCATAGTACATAATCCTAACTGTTGCACCAAGCGTATACGGCCTCTTTATTAATTCGCAAACAGTGCTAGAATGCGATTTTGCATCGTGATAACGTAGGCAAACATGTTCAAATATCTAATGAAATGAAAAGTAAAGATAAATATGTTGCAACAATTTTTCAAAGAAGAATAAGGAAATCATAATTATTTGAATTGTGTATGTTTTTGATAGTAAATAAAATTTTCCAGAAATTAATATTATTTTTGCTGGTATCGTCAATAAGAAAATAAAAGAGTTTTAGCAAATTATTTATAATACTAAAAACTTTAATAGTAAAACAAATTTTAAGGTCTAAAAAATAGACTTCGAAATTGTTCAAATAAGTTGCAGCTCTGCTTCCGCAGAATTATTATCCCGTATTTAAATCTTGCATTCAGCATTACATAAACACAGCGACAAAATTGATACATCATGGAAAAATTAATCCAGCAGAATGATCTTCTTTTAGATGGTAAAGATTGTACCACAAGTTGGAAGAGTTAAATATGAAAGAGGAGAATAAGAAAAAAGGTAAAAATTACACCGAAAACAATTATCAATCACTCACCTTTAATATAGCTGTGTACATTGCGGTGCTAGTAGAGGGTGGTGTGGATTGGCGGTGGGGTGGTCCGGGGGGCTCCGATGCAGGGCGTACCCCTAGTTACCCCCCTCCGGTCCTCCACCGCCTCCTTGCTGTTGATGCGCAGCCGCCGCCGCTGCTGCTGCTGCCTTTTGCGCTTGTGCTTGCTTCTCCTGCTCGTTTAGCTCCTTGATCGCTTGAATCTCCTTCTTCAACTTCATTCGCCGATTCTGGAACCAAATCTTGATTTGCCGTTCTGTCAGGCAGAGAGCGTGTGCCATCTCGATCCGCCTCCGCCTGGTGAGATAGTGATTCGTGTGGAATTCTTTTTCCAGTTCCAGAGTCTGATAGCGCGTGTAAGTCTGTCGACCACGTCTGCGCATTCCGTTCGCTCCTATAAACAATAAAAAAATTACAGTTACAACGGGCTGTTTTTGTTCTTTTCTCTATCTATTAATTTCATTAAAAATTGCAAAAAAAAACAACGTCAACATACAAAAATATATCAATATAGATATGTATCTCGAATTACGCTTCAGATATTGAAGCAACGCTTAAATATATTGCAAAAAGCGAGTTGCATTGCATCTCCGATTAAGCATAACTAAAGTACTTCAGGTTCGAAAAAATAAATTTTTAAAACACGATAAATTTTTATTTACAAATAACGTAAAGACAAGTATTATATATCGGCGAAAGTAATGAAGAACTGAGATCAAGGAATGTGCAAATTTCTTCGGCTCGTCATTCCATTCCTGCTGGTTATCTTGTTCTGAAAGGAGTCGTTATCTTTATGAGCTGCCGCTTAAGATACTTATTAAAAGAACATTCTAATGAATTTCTGATGTCCCGCAGCGCTTCGGAGTTGCGAATATCAGACGCGGCGATGTAAACGAGGCTCGTGCCGATAAAGGAAATGTGTAAACGGCTTAAAATAAAGCGTGGCGTAAGTCGTTCCGAACAAACGAGAGAAAGTAAGAGAGTATACGACAGCGAATAGGTACTGTTGAGCAGTCACTTGGGTACAGTAGCAGAGTAAGCCCCGACGGTGGGGGCGCAAGCTCACCTTATCGGCCATTACTGCCTCGTAAAAACCCACCCGTTTCACCTCTGCCACCGGTATCCAACCTAAACCAGCCTCTCTTCTCGGCCGTAAGCAGTCGTTTCTTTACTCTGTTTTTGCTCGCATACGATGCCTGCCCAAGTGCATAAATGTCCATAATATTACGATTTTCGCTCTATCGACTTATCCTTCCGTATTTGATTTGAATCGATCTTCTCGAAATCTAATCAATGACGGAAAAGTTAATATAGAATATTTTACACTCTCAAATTCTTCGATGTCTGTTCGATAATTATCAATAACGAAATAATATGTTTACTAGATTTTTTCAAATATCTAATGTGTGTGCTGTAAATTCAGAAGCTTGTAATATACGTTTAATAAATTAGAAGAAAAACTGTTTTCGAACACCTCGAAAATTATCGCGCAAGAATTTTGAATGGCAGTTCAATATGCAAGATTTAATGCGTTTCATCGTCGCGATAAAAATCTAGTCATCCAATAAACGCTCGAAATTTACAATTGTATCTGCGCTGATCCGCTATCAACAAAGTGCACAAAGTCACACGGTGCGTGTGATTCACGTACACGCTGTCGCAATTCCAGACGACCATTGTACTCATATCATACCTGCACACCGAAACAAAGTTTATATCGGCGTGATGTTTATTACCGCGACGTAATCAAGTGGCGTGCCATCCGAGTTACTATCGCTCCGGGCACCTCTTCTCGCCCTCTTTGCCACCCTGTGACACCACCACGATTCTCATGCCAGGTTGTCATGCCTGGCTCGCGCTGCGCAGAGGGGTGTGGAATTACGACGCGGCATTTTTAACGGTTATTTGTCACATGGACCCCGTCAAGTCTGGTTCCCTTCCATTTTGGAATCTTCTATCAAACCCTCCTGTCATCCCGGCTCCACCAGAAATCATTCTCTGTATCCTATTGACACACGCCTTTTTGAACCGTGAGCGCGATATAGCAGCAACGATAGACTTTATTAGACTTGTAAATAAAAATAGCAATTATTTCAATAATATAATAAATTATTTCTCTACATATTTGCGAAATAAAAATTTTATAATGTACACTATTGCCTATCTATTAAAGTTTCCGTAGAACATATAAGATTTTTTTTACGAAAAAATTTACAATATAAATGTAAAGCATAACCAAAAAAAAAAGAAAAAAGTGAGAGAGGAGATAGCTTTAATATTTCATTTGCTACTTTTTACAAAGTTATTGCTTGATAAATGATTATGGTAGCTCGGGCGGCGGACTACTTAATTACATCGCGGTAATAAATAACACACCGATATAAACTTTATTTCGATGCACTGGTGTGATAAACTTTTAATTTTATATGATGTTTTTACATCATTAGTACCCAGAAATATTTGTACAAATTTTGCAAAAATTGTAAGAGCATAATTTAGAAATTATTCTTCCTTTTATTTTTATTTTTTATACTATTCCTTCTTGAATTACGTGTCTTAAATTCAAATACCACTAATTTCACCCCGCATGACGTCTCATTCGTAAGATATCGCGAACCAAACGAAATAGGGGATGAAATATCAAGATTACCGCACTCTCCGTGAAGTAAAAAGAGGTGCGCATGACTGCTTAACCGAGGGGGTGGATAAATTTTATGCTGAGACCCTAAAATACTTTCATTTGGAGGAACAAAGAAGAAGATCGGCAAGGCACATAGGGAATTGGTTGGCTGAACAGCAAAGCAGGAAAACTGTAGAGCACGTTTAGAAGAGCGAAAAATATATCGGTCGTTATTCACGCCTTTCTTGAAAAATGCTTGCCCGTATACTCTGAAAAATTTCAACCTCACGCAAACCTTCGCCCAAGAAATTATTCCTTCAAAACTCTAAATTATAACAAAAAATTCAAAGGATTATACATTACGAAATATGTAGAATAAATTTTTCTTATTTCATAAATTTTCAAAAAGTTGTATTAAAGAATCCTTAAACATTTATCAATGTACAATATTAAATGCAAATTATTTCGATTAATGTTCTCTTCTATTATTGTAAAATGCACATTGTAAAAACCAAACAGTTCCTGAAAAACAATACTTATTGAAAAGATGAAACAAAAGTTCGATTGAACGAAGGAAATTTCACTAAATAATCAGAGGTTCTTTTTCGGTTCGTTGAGAACCGAAACTTTAAATGCGAAGGGGTATGCAAGTTGAAAGAGATCTGCCGAGTTTCGACGTATTCGACCATAAACTGAGGCAGGGAGAGACTTAACTGGTTGCCAACTCTAACAAGAACAGCCAATACGTTGATTGCTGTTAGGGATTTACCGGTATAACTTTGCAAAACACGATGCCAAAGCTTGCCTTCGGTAACCCTCACTCCTTTTCCGCTTCCTTGTGTTACGTGCACGCATATACGAATCATACACGGGACCAATCAAATCAAAGTAAGTGAATTGGGTCCATGAAGAACTTCCCAGACTTCCTCTTGAGATATTTCCTATAGGCTTGCTCCCTCGAATTTCCGCAACGTTGGGCAGTTTTTGTACGTAAGACTGATAATACATCAACTATGGTGGCTTCTTGCTCTCTGACTCTACCTTTTTTTCGTCTAAATTAAATAATGTTCAGTGTACCGTTACAAGAGTTATATAGGATGTTTTGCACAGCTGGACCATATTGTGTCTCTGAACAATTAAAGATTTAAAAAAATTAAATTTTGTTTCATTTTATTTAGATAAAACTCTAAAGTTTTTGAGTGCATTAATCGACGCAAATTTTCAATCTTTATAAAAAAGTATAACGTAAATATTATTAACAAATATTATTTAAACAAAATATTTTTAAATTCAATGAAAATATTTTTACAGTCTTAAAATGTATCTTCATAAACATGGTCATAAAAATTAGCGAGATAAATAATGTACGGATACATAATGTCTCTTCGTGTCATAAATTAGCCAAATCTATAGCTGCTTTATTTGGCACTATTCCATTCCCCTTTTTAAGCCCCGCAACAATATTCTGCCGCGCTCGAAGTGTTACAGTCCGTTCACGTATCACCAGTTTCGGCCTTCCGGTGCCATCCGGAACGCGCCCGCGCTCAAAGAACCCTGTTTGCACGCGGCACGGGAGTACCGAGGACACTTGGTATGAGAAACGCGTAGCTACGCAGCAAGATCGTAGCTCAACGTGGGATATACCCTCCTCCAGCCTTGCCAAGGTAGGTAATCCTCTCGGGGGCGTGAGTTACTGCCTAACGTCCCTCGCGCTCTACTCTCTTCTCTCCCACCTTCTTCCATGCCTCCTAGGCCTCCCCTCCCACGTCACCCCACCTCCGCGGTGCCAGGACCTTCGTCTCGTTTCTGCTGGGGCGTCTCCTCCTATCTACTCTCTCTTCTTACTCTCTTTCCTCGCTTAGGGAGCCGCCGAGAAAGCACCGGGAGAAAGTTGGAGGACGGTCGGCGGACGAAGGGAGAAGGTAAGATGTTGCTACGTGGCACAGCTGGAGCGCATTAGTCAACCGTAATTAATAAGTTATACACAACAGAGACTAACGAAGAGCGCGCGGCGTTACACCCGCCGACGTCGTCTCTCTTTTAGGAGAGAGGCAACGCGACCTCTCGGGGTGTGACGACGGAAACCTCAACGATCATAAATACATGCTAAAAACCTGCCGGCATAAATAAACTAAGGGTTGACGCTCGCAAATGAGGAACAGCGAAGACGTATATTTCTTCCGCAGCTACCAGTAGACGTTGCGGTCAGATAGAGCGCTTATGGAATTTAGCCGCATCTCATAAATGTGTCTAATAAAGCCAACGCTTCTTGCGCCAGCGAGTAACCCAACCAAGTTCAAATTAGAATATCGAGTGTGGATGATTCTGAGATGTTGGATTGTTTAAAATAAGAAAACTTTTAATTGAGACTTACAAGTCATTGAATACATAACGCTTATAAAGAAAGTTGATCGTTTAATAAAGCCATTACTATAAAATATATTTGTATGATCGAGAAGATTTACCGCAGTGATCATATGTTGAATAAAGTGAAGCAATCTTTTCAGACCGCGGGTGGTTCTGGAATGCAAAGATCGGTTTGGTGAACCCGTCGTTACATGCAATCGCGGGCCGATAAAACGGCGCAAAATGTATCGGAGAAATCACGCGTTGCGGACAAGAATATCGCCAGTAGCCAGTGGAACCTACCATAAGGAGGCCGAATGGAGCTATAGTCCGTTCAAGAATAAGATATCGGCTTTACGTGCAAGCACTTTTAAATAAGCACGTAACCGCGCCGCGGGCAAGGTAGCGATTTTACTCTCGCGCAAGTA